TTTCTTTAAAAATGTGTAAAGGTCACTTCAATATACTAAAAAATATCAAAAATAAAAAACAATGCAATTGATATGGAAAATAAATTTTCAATACATTTATTCAGTATTATCGAGAGATTTCTTGCAACAATTGACAGCTCTTCCTTAAAATATTTGAAGTAATTATTCAATATTCTTTGAGAGTTACCTTTTTTCTCTTCGATATAGTCACAAAAATTGTAAAAAAAGTCACCAAGGGTTGAAATATACGTGGCATTGGTTGTATAGATATGTGCCGAACCAGCAAAAAGAATAATAGAATGTCCAAAAATATCTCATTTGGATTGCGGTATGGTGAACTTTTCTATGAGATCTCAAAACTTTAGTTTTAAGGCACTTGAACGCTTCGTTTAGATGTAATATAATATTGAATAAACAACGTTAAGGAGGTTTTGTTCTCAATTACCTCAACCTATTAATCAAGTTACTCGTACGCGATCATTGCACTTTCTCCTTCTTTCGCTTTCCCTCTAGTTTATACAGACCTACTTTACCAAATATTGGACATTGAGTGGTATGAATAAAAATGAGCTATTACTTCTTTCTTGAGTTTTCAAAGTAATTACTTGAAATAATATGAATGATGGACGAGAACAATTGCTCTCATCTCCAGCAATTTCTCCATTAGTGAGGAACTGCTCGGCCGAGGATTAATTGCTTAATTTTCGCATGAATAAAATTGAGAATTTGCTTCCAGTATGTAGCATTTACTTAGTACTTTCGGAGCAACATCTGTAGCTGACTCAAATTCCATTGAATGGATACAAGCGAGCCTATATACAACAGTTTTGAGCTGGTTGAGTGAATTCATGATGGAAGACTTCTTACGATTTCGTCAACAATGCATGTCAATTGTGCTATTTAACCTAACATGGTCAACACCATAAAAACAATCACGCGTCACGTGATAACGTAAACAAAACAGACGAGGATCGCAACTGATCAGTGAGCAATTACTCAGACAGAAAAATAAATTTCTTCAAGTTTCTCAAAACTTTTTATCCATATGAAAAGAATTAATGGCTTATGAGAAGTAATAGTTTCTGCTTTCTACTGCTAGTAATGGAGCTCTGAAGTGCTTACTCAGTTTTTTGAGGATGTATTATAGTCGTATAAACCGAAGGTTCTTAGCGACTCTTCAATATTTAAACTATTCGATATTTGATTTACCATTGGTTAAATGCACAGTACAGTCATTAGGCAGGACGTTACAATATTATATTCATAGACCTATAAATACATGTATACATAGCTCGACGCTTACAATAGTGGACACTGTGTAAAAGTTTAATCAACCAATGTTGACGAATGTATCTGAAGCAAAGTGTTTATAAGAACTAGTTTGTTGTTTAAATATTTGTTATGCTAAAACCAAGCAAATTGTGTGAAATATATTTTGTTGTATTGTGGGCGATTTATGATTGCAAAACAGAGACCGAATATAACCTCATTTGTCAGAAGTGCATATAACGCTTGTTTTGGAAAGAAACTGGGGGATCAGGATAAGCCGTGGGCCCCTCATAAAGTGTGCAGTGTTGCAGAGTTAAGAAACTAGTCGAAGCGGAAGAGGAAGGCACTGAGTTTTGGAGGTCCTATGGTGTGGCGCGAGCCACACAACCATCTAAACGATTGTTATTTTTGTATTTGCAAAGTAAAAGGATTCAATACACAGAAGAGACGCGGAATGGTTTATTCTGATTTGGAGTCTGCTAGAAGGCCTGTACCAAATGGCAATGGCGTTCCTACACCATAACTTCCTTCGAACCTCGAAGTAATGAATTCTGATTCAAGTTCAACGCCAGGCAAATCAGCTGAAGAAACTGATTGGACAAGCACCGAACACAAACACTAACCTTTAACACAAACAGAACTGAACAATTAGGTCAGAGATTTGAATCTTTCAAAGAATGCTTCTGAAGTTTAAGCCTCACTTCTGAAAGAAAACAGCTAGCTCCAGGATCGTGTGTTACAGTTTAAAGGCAGCAAGTACGTGTTGTTTATTGATGAATGCTTTTTGGATGAATATGGCAGTAGTGAAATGTCTTTGACGGAAACCAAATTGGTTATTAGTTAAATTTTGTTGGGAGTCGAGAAACCAACGTAGTCTATTGTTGATAATCCGCTCAAGAATTTTACACATATTAGATGTAAGAGATATTGAGCGGTAGTTATCAGTTATGACCGGATCTTTACCAGGCTCAGCAACAGAAATGACAGTAGTCAGTAGCCAGTCTCCAGCTACTAGGGAAGGTGTTTTCTCTCCATATAGTTGTAGATGCGTAGTAGAATAGATTTTCTTTTAGGTGAGTAGATTTTTAGAATATTCGGAATATTGTCTGGCCATGAGAACAATTGTTCGAAGGTTCAATAACTTTCTGTAGTTCATATTGTGAGATATCCACGTTAAGATAGTTATTTGTTAAAAGTTCATTTCCTTTAGGGTTTGATCTGATTTCTTGCTCTTTTTTAATGAAAGAAATGCGTGCGTATAGTTGTTGGAAGTGGAGTTATTGGAGAATGTTTCAGCAAATTGATTGTCAATCTCAGATAGGATAGAAAGTATTTTATCCTTACATTTAATGAAGTGGATGCAAGATGATTTTTTATTTTCTTCAATAGCTTTGATTGTTCTTCATGTATCATTGATGTTACATTTGCCGTTTAATGATCGTAAGTAATTATATCAGGAATTGGCTTTGTTTTCATTGATGACGCTTCTGGTGATTGCTATGGACAATTTGTATTCAACTCGGTTGTTTTATGTTTCTTATAAGGGTTCAATGCATATTTTGAACTTGTTACAGTTGGTATTGCACCATAGTGTGGTTGTCTTTTTGGAAAATAATTTAGGAGTAGCCAAGTAAGCTGCAGGAATAATCAAGTTACAGAAGGATTGAATGGTTACATCAATGTTGTTAAATTCAAATGGTACATTATCACCTATAGGAGATGTAAAGATGAAGCTCTGCTAATCTTTTCAATTTGCTGTATTGAAGTTACATCTGTTTATTTGACCTGAGGGATCCGAGGTTTTATTTGCGTCGATAATACAAATAAAAATGGGGAAGTGATCGATATCATATGGATTGTTCGAAACGTTCTAAGAGCGTTTGTGGGGAAGGTATGTGAGATAAAATGGCTAAATGGATTTGTTGCTGATTTTGACGTATGTAAATTCTCCATCTCTCTGAGTTTGTCTCTGAGTCAAACTCAGAGAGAGACAGAAAGTCAGACTGGGAGCGGCGCTGTTTTCTATAATTATTTATTTATATTAATTATTACAACGAATTAGTTACTTGATCCTATGTGGCTAGGCCGAAGGCCTTTAAGCCATTACAATACCTACATCCTTTCGCGTTCTAATCTTTTCGAATTCTGGTATTCACCCCAAATGTCTCTCATCGCATCAAAGCCGGCGGGAAAAGATAGCCACAAGGTACGGCTCAGGAAAAAATCCCTGAAGGGGAAAAACCTGCCGTCAGAAACCGAGTACATTCTAATCTATCCGACGTTTATTTTAGCTATTTTATTTTCTGGCGCGGCGTCGCGCCGTTCGCTTCCAGTTGCTTGCATACGCTCAGCACCTTGAATCAACGGCGCCACAGAAGATCGTCCGCCACCAACGCTCTGCCTGTTAATTTTCGCATCCCCCCTTCCCTTCACCGCCTAATGTGCTTATTACTATGCCAGTTTTTAATTATTATTTATTGTTTGACCAGTTATTTAGCAATTGACTACGACTTATGACTTATTTTGTTTACTGTGTTACTGAACTTAAACATAAAATTACTTATTATTGTTAGCTTATGTCTTATATTATTCTCTCCATCTAGGCTGTGCTCAGCTAACAGTTTCAGTTTACATATATGTAATCGAATTTTAATATTGTTTGCTACAGTATGACATCTGTTCGCTACCAAAATGCATTTTTATTAGATAGGTATTACTAAAATTTCCAAACAAATTACATTGAATTTAGATAGAGAATCTTTTGTGGAGAGAAAAATCCATTGTGACGGAAAATATATTTTCTTAATTTTTGTAGTCTGTCAGGAAAGACACCGCGAAAAGATCAACGTTTTTTTATATCTATGATCTATTATAGCCTTATATACTATTATCTATATATCTATATATTATATATCGTATATATCTATATATCTATATATCTATATAATCTATAAGTCTATATATCTATATATATCTATATCTCTATTACATCTATACATCTATAAATCTTCATATCTTAAACATACACACACACACACCACACACACACATCACACACACAATATATACTATATATAATATATATATATATATATATATATATATATATATATATTCAGTATAGCAGTCTTCTGTCTTACTGAACTAGACTATACTTCTGTACTTTTGAATTTTTATTTCGAAGTCGTATTGTTTTTAAATCTGATTCTAACATCCTAATTTTCGGGGCATTTCTTTATTGTAATCCATAACTGACGTTAAGAATGTTCTAACCGATCATTTTAAAAATGACTTTGTTTCGGAAACCAACAGTCCCTATATTAAATTGGATTCGCGTTGTCGTATATTCCTACGTTTTTCATTAACTCTTTCAATCCCAAATTATTTATTATGAGGAAATAAAATATTTAAGACATAACATTTATGAAGGAGATCATCAGAAGACTGAAAAAAACAGTTTTTAATAATTTCCGCACATTAGTTTATTTTTATGAAATATTCCCATATGGCCACAGTAGGCACATAGGAAACTTAATATAATATAATTTATTCTTTGAGAAATAAATACAGTAAAGCTAGCCTTTTTTGCTAAGTAAAATAGAAAAACATTTCTTTGGCTTTATAATATATATCGTCACACAACATTTAAAACATTTAGTCCTTGAAAATCCACCTGGCAATGTTTATCATGACATTTTGCTAATTTTTACAGTAACAAGAGTTGTTTAAACTGCTCCTGGAAGTTGGTTAAACGCCTGGAAGGCATTGCTTTCTTTGTCAACAATCTTTATAATCTTTATTTCTTTCAAACATAATACAAACATAAATTTTTCATATATAAATTTGAAATATGATGTACTTCGGCATCTGTACAGAATTGAACAGTATTTTTCTAGTAATAACAACTTATCATCTTGGCCGGAAAACAGATTATTGACGAGTAACTCGTTGCTACATTAAATAAGATACTAATTTATTGAATCTATTTTACATTCATAGTAATAGCTATTACCGCTAAAAATCTATTAACTTCGTAAGAGGTAAAATTCACAAGCGCATTCATTTTAATGAATCAAAATTTTTCCAAAAAATTCTAGGGTATGTAAAGGCATGATATTTATTAAACATATATTAAATAAGGTTTATTTGGTTTAAAACTTATTTTTATTAGATTATTTACTTTGAAATATACAATATTGTATATTCACCAATCATATAATTAATTAGTTATTTAGAGACCAATAACTTAATTTTTACCCCATACAGTTTCTTCAATCCACGGTAGAAACGCCTGTACTTTCGTGTATACTGCTGGTTGAGAGCCACATTGTCTGAATCCAAAGGAAGTGATTCCAACAATCTGGTAATTGCATGTTGGTGCTCCTTCCTTTGCAACAATTGGGGCTCCAGTCTCCCTGCAAACATATTTAATTGCATTGACTTTGAACGGGACTCCTGAGAGAGTAACAGCAGAATCGTTTTTATACTTACAACGCATGCATCTCTTCCCTTCTCTCCAGCACATACTGTGGTTGACTGATCAATATTTTTGCGAAACTGTTCGTAAATTTCTTTACATTTCTCAAACGGCACCACAGGAAGATCAACTTTAGAGAGTGTGCCAACATCTGCAAGATGTAAAATTCGTTATATATATTGTAAATACATGTGATAAAACATAAATTTCACCTGTGAAATAAACTTTGACACTTCAGGATTAGTTGAACATGCTCTAAACTCCACAACTATATAAATGCTGCCCTTTAATAAATTGATTGATTAATGATTTCCGGCACTTCACGTCTATGTTTATTAGTTCCATAAGTGTAGTACATGAGCGGAAGGTGCTGGAATGCGAGATCCGGCGCCGACCTACATGTCGGTTCGCGGGGTTCCCCCTTCCAGTGCCGTCCCTCAGTGGGACACCACTCTAGAGGGGACAACCTGTAAGCTGCCAGCTGGTCTCATGATATTATATGCAGTATGGTAGTGTAGTGCATACACGTATTTGGGTAAAGGTGAGGAGAGAATGGGTATGAGTGAGGAAAGATTGTGCACGTGGTGTTCAATTAAAAAATACTTTCATTATATTTTTTTCTTGTAAACACCGGAATGACAGTCGAACAAAATGATTGATACATCATCCGAAGCCGCTCGTTACTGTCGTTGTGACAGTTATGTTAATAGACAAATATCTATAGTTCGGGCATTTGAAAATGATCTGGTTCTTGAAAATTCACTCTGCTCCTCGTGGGAATGTCCATTTTCAAATGCTACCTATTTCACCTAATGCTACTAACAGTTTCTTGATTCCCGTGATCTTAACCAAGGAGCAACACAAGGATTTCGGTCTCTTTGTATCGTTTCGGAGTGAAGGTAAATGAAATATGATTAGGACCGGAACTGTCGGGGAATTTACATTTGGAATATATTTAGTGAAGGTGGTCGAAGTTAGAAATCTGTGACGTACGGTACATTCCGCCATTTCACAGAATTCCCACCTGCTTAAAATTGCGAGCATTGGTATACAAAGCCTATGCACTATCCCATAGGCGTAACCAGCACCTATTCAATAGGCAAATGTCACCTTAGCGAGGTGTCCCCTCCATTAAACCCTTAAGACTAAAAAAACCGGGAAGACGCGTGCTCACCGTTGTCCCGATGGTGTTGCTTCGTGCTAACCCATGATGAAAACACATGGATGAATTATTGCGAAGCCTATTCGGCTTCATGCACCTGTTTGCGTCACAATATTAGCGGGAACTTTAAATGCAGCCAATTACCAAAATTATTACATAGTTACAAGTCATTTCAACAGCTATAGGAAGCATTTTTTTAAATATTGCATCTTTTATTTCAATGACACCTTCACTGAGTTATTTTCGGTTGGTCACCGTTGAAAATTGTCACTTTCAAAATGTTTCCCAACACTTTTCGCATACCATGCAGCATGCCCGCCCGCGTCTGATCTGGCTTTCCAAACGAAGTGCCCGTGTTGTGGTCACGTGGTTCGTGGCGTGTTTGGTGCTGCACAGGAGTGCAAATATCGGTGCGCCGGACCATCTCTCCCATGTCTTTTCATCAAGTGCTAACCTACCTTCAGCTCAGAACAGCTAAAACCAACTGCGATTGTTACCTTTTGCGTCGGTGGAGCGAGCGCCGTGGCCGGCGAGCACCAGCCTGCCCACGGGCAGCTGGGCCTCCGGGAAGAGGCAGGCCGGCTGCACGGCGCGCGTGAGTCGCGCATTGCCCGAGAGCCGCAGGAGCGCGATGTTGTTCGAAACGGAGGAGGCGTTGTACGCAGGGTGCACGAGGATCTCCGCCACGTCCAGCTCCTGCTCGTCGGCGCCCACGCCTGCGTCCTCGCTCAAGGACACGCCCCCCAGGCGCACCTTGTCGGGGCTGCCGCTGCGGGAACAACACACAAAGTTACTCTCGGCGTTACACTTAAACTATGTTATTTGCAAGCTTTATGTGTGCGAGGATGAGTATTCAGCTTTTCAGGTAAATGTTTGTCGAGGATGGTTTGCTGATGACTTTTATTGCCATAAAATCTGTAATAAAAGTGAAACCTGTCAAATGGTCTGTGAAATGGACATCTGTCAAAAGAGGTCACCGTCATTAACCATTGGATACTAGCGTCGAAATTTATCGATTGTTACTAGTGATTTTACTGACTTGAAAAGTTATCAATTTCTTCACGGAAAATATTGTGAATACAATAATTACTGATTCTAATATCGCTAAACAAATTAATTAAATGATCAGAAATACTAGTTAAACAGTAAATCATCTATCACAATACGGCCTTACAATAATATTAAGATATTGTCGGGCCCTGATTTACCGACAATAGTTCTTTTTCTTTCTTGGGGATTTTTTCCAGCTTCAGAGGATGACGTTTTCGACTATGCCCCGGGTAGCCACATTTGGACTATATCCCTCATATGGACACGTATTAATCTTTTTACACTTGACACATATGCGTGCTGCTTTGGTCGGCAGTCTCTCAAAGCCTTTCGCGACAATACACATACGTGGGACAAACAACCATGCCCATGGCGGGACTCGATCCTGCGACCCTTCAAGCCGAGGTGCACAGTCGGCAAACGCTCTAACCACCTCGACGATCCAAGTCGGCTCCTATTCTAGCCGAGATGACTGTAATATTGACTGTACAAATGTTCGAGAAACTGAGGTGATGCTTCTAGAAACTTGAACTCCCGTAGAACTCAAGCTCATTCGAACAAAACACACGAAGTTATCATGCCATGAGCTGAGATAGACCACTGCACGCCACAGAACAAGTCTCAAGATATTCGGAATATAATGAATCACCCCCGATACAGATCTTCAAGACAATTTCGCATTATCAGCAGAAACACTTCAAAATATTTTTTTCAAAAAAAAATCCAGAATTAAAAATATCCCTTTGTTTAGAAAAGCATCATCAAAGTTGTAAGGCCACCTTCCCTTTACGACAGGGAAATAGAATTTGATTGCTTATAAAGATATTAAACATTCTGTAACGAAGAAAAATCCTCCTCGACAAACAAAAACACACTGATTCTCACTCGTCTACTTAGGAACAGTATTAGCATTTTGACGGTAACGCTTTTAAAGATGATGTTCTACTGTTACGAGTTGTGACATGTTAAGAGAAATAAAGACAAGTCTATTACTTTGATTATTTATTTACCACCTAACTCTTCTTGTTGGACATTTTGAAGAACGCTCATTATGCGACATAATTACGTACGTTGATGAGGACCCTCGGGCGCAGTGAGCCGCTGTCAGCACGAAATTCTCGCTAATGAGAGCTCCGCCACAATGCCAGCGTGTCTTCTGGTTGCCAGACTTCGTTTTGTAGCCTAGCCCAGCCTGAGCACAAAGGAACCGACGCAATGAGAAGTGTACGGATCTCGAACATAAAGCTTTCGGTTTGAAAATACTTACGAAATAAGGAAAGTCTCCGGGGCGCACATCAGAACCGGCAGCAGGGGGTTGGAAATTGTCGCAGCTCTGTTTCGCTTTTGCGAATTCCCGGCAGGCTGTGTAAGAAAGAAGAGCTTTAGCGCCGAACATTCGCCGTCGTTCTGCGCCCGATTACATAACTTTCTCTTCTTACGAAGAACCTCTTAAAGGTGAGAAAGTAAAACATCCAGATACATACACACATGGAGTGTATCAAGAATGCCATTCTTGTATAGGTTTCCAGAGGTGTGTAGCCACACCAAATTGTTAGCGTAAGATGTGATGATTGTAAACAATAGAAAATTCTTTCAATCAGTTGCAAACAATGACTTGCAATGAGCGCGCAACATTGGACGTTCATTATACTAGAGCCGATGCGCCATAGCGCCACTCACCTCGCCGGCTGCGCTCGCCGCCGTGCGGACGCCGCGCGCAACATTGGACGTTCACTACACTAGAGCAGATGCGCCAGAGCGCTACTTACCTCGACTGCTGCGCGTCTCTCCCTGCGGGTGGGAGGAGGTGGGGAGCGCGCAGCATAACACTACACTAGAGTAAATGTGCCACTCACCTTGCCGGCTGCGCTCGCCGCCGAGCGGAGAAGAGGAGGCGGGCAGCGCGCAGCAGCGCAGGTCGGCGCCGGGCAGCCCGCAGTCAGACGCGTCCTTGCCGCCCGCGGGGCAGGCGCCCGGGGGTTTGCACGCCCCCGAGGGCCGGTCGCTGTCCCCTGGCGCGCACACGGCCTCTGCGGACACGCAGACACGGATCAGTCGCCTCTCACGCTCGCGTGTTCTTGGAGTCGTAAATACTTGTTTTTACAGTGAGAGATTTAAAACATAAATTCTTTTTTGTTTTAATGCAAGTAGTAATTTGTAGTCCAGTAGTATATACTATAAAGTCTGGGTGTCAAAGAGACGAAGTATTAAACACTAATATCAATTTAAATTTCATTAAAGATATTAATACTTTTACAAAATTATTGAAATGGTCTTGAGATTTTCTCCCCAAAGATAACTAGTCTCTGGTAGATATAATTAATTTTGATAAATTTTTGAGTGATTGAGATTAAGACTTCCTTTTTTTATTAAGACTGAGAGGTCGAGTTGAATGAATAAATGAGATCGTGCCAGAAATGATCATTTTCTTCACGAAATATTTAAACCGTTTTTTACTTTATCCGGCTTCCATTAGAAATCAGTTCTTTCATTTCTACTCTCAATGCTTATCGAAACAAAGCACAAACATTTTTCGCTATCTTGGTGGGAAGAGGTCTTTGTTTAACTGTGACGTCACGCTTTTCGGCTGTCTCCAGACAAATTTACTTCGTGCACGCGTAGTGGTACGTAAAATATTGTTGATAATGGTTTTTATGTACATAAAAAGAATTTCGTGGTAGATTTTCACACAAGGTCTTGAATCTATTTCTACTTCTACAGAAATATACTACTCATTTTGAACTAGAACAAATTGCAACTGATGATTTTGCTATTTGTAGAATGTTAAACATTACATCCAATCGGTACCTATAATTCATCTGTTTAGTTACAGCTGACATTTAATGTAATAGTTACATAACAAGAGCTGGAATATCTTTTATCTCAAAATTATGTTCCCTGAATACTTACGCCACTTAACAAGGCTACACTCGATGCAAGTTTATTCTATAGAAGTAGACAAAGTAGCTAATTAAAAATAACGAGAGGTGACTTGTTATCCGATTAGATTGAACCGGTTCTGACCACATAGTGGTAACTCACATGTTTGTCACTAGAAAAAAGTTTTTATCAACTCATATGTTTCATTTTCAGGGTACTCGTCTTGCAAACACTTACTGCAGTTCTATG